CATCTCTTTAGACTCATTGTCTCAGTCACGGACATCCTTAGAACGACTGGCATTAGCTCAAGTGATGCCTCTAAGCGAAAGCAGAAGAAAACCATCAAAAGCACATTTACCTAGGAGACAGGCACAACCACCACATGGTAAAGACCCATGAGGCTGGATTCAACCCATATACGAGGGTTGAGAAGCTGAGGCACAGTGAGCAGGGCTGTCACTGCAGCTCACCCCCTTGAAACACACTGAGGACTCTGGTCCCTACAGCACTCCACACTCCAGGCCAGCAGTCCCAAGAGACATGAGCCCAAATCCCAGCCTCTCCGCACAAGCCCTAGGGCTGCACGTAGCCAGCTTGTTGAACAGCTTTGTTCAACAGGTTTGTGCAGCATTGCCTCCCCTGCTCTTCGCGGCACTGTGGGATACAACTGCCAAGATCCTGAGCAAGTCAAAGACATGACCTGAAGTTGAAGAAAATAAACCTGAAGTCAGAGACTCGGTAATTTCCCTGGGAAAAGGGGAGACAGCAACCTGAGTTCAACTTTTACCATACATTGCTACAGGATCCTGGTGAATCAAGGAAAGGTTGAACGTCAGCCTGTGACCCATCAGACACCATAGGGCCATGTATAAGGGAACCAGCTTCAGCTGCTCCCTCTGCTCACACTGAAACACCTCCCAGAGACCCAAATAACAGCCTCCTGCTCGCCACACCACTCACGTGTCCTGCTCTGCTTCCTCCTCGCCCAAGCTCAGGCTCCACTCGTTCCGGTGCCCCAAGTCTAATGGATGTCACTTGGTTTCTCTCGATCAAGCTGAAGATTTCCACCCCATCAGAGGGGTGGATGAGGCAGGTGGTGGTACTGGCAGCCCCTCGGCAGGACGGGGAGCTGAGCTGCTCCCCTCCTGCAGCCTCAGCCCCGCTGGGGATGTCCCTGCTCGCCCGGGAGAGGCCAGGCAGCCTCTTGTCCCCCTCTCCTGCTCTGAGGAAGGTGACACACCCCCACACAGGGCTGCCCACCGCCCCGCTGCGCAGGTACGGGCACACACATCATATGACTGGAGCCTTGATAAGAACCGGCGGTGTTTGTCTCTCTAAGCAGCCAGCTCCCTGACTCCCGCTGGGGTTTCACTGCTTGGATCAGCGGAAACGTTCTCACTAACACCCCTTCTTATCAACTAAAACTCTTTTTTTTGGTTGAAACAGTGGGGATTTTTGTTGTTTGGACAAAATCTTTCTTTCTTTTGGAAAAGACTAGAAGGAAACCCAAAGCATCGCTCCTCCAGTGTGGGGCAGAGCACACGCGTGTTTTTGTCTGACTGCAAAAAATGGGTTCTCACGTAATTACTCTTGGTTCTTAACTTGCAGCCAGCCCGCGGCTTCCCTCTCAGCATTGCCGGGGAGGG